CTCATCTGCAAAGGGATGGCCTGGTAGTGAGTCCTCACCTTGGGTTGGACAATGAGGGCTTGACCCCTGGGGAGGGGCTAGAGAGGGGCTCTGCCTCTGAGTCCCCAGCTCACCTGTAGGGCACCCAGATGTTCTATCAGCTGCTCTGCACTCGACACCCCCAGCAAGACCGAGCTGACACCCTCACTGCGGAGACACCACGCTGAAGCCAGAGGAGGAAAGCAAGAGAACTGATGGATAAGAACGAACATACGAACTTCAGAAGTGTCTCGGAGGACGAGGAATCTCCCTCCGGACAAACCACTCTTGGGTTTGAGGGTTTCTCGGAAGGAGACAGGGCCTCCGCAGGGTCCAGGGCAGGCAGTGTCTCACCAATAGCCAGCTGCGCCACAGTGCAGCCCAGCTGGTGAGCTATGGGCAGAAGGTCCATGACTTTGGCTTGTTGCTTCTTGCCATCCTCACTCTGCACTTTGTCCTTGAGCCACTGGTAACCCTGGAGGCCAAAGAGAATCATCAAAAGACACCCCACCACCACCACCACCACCACCACCCTGGAACAGCCGAAATAGCCCAGTCCTGCCACCTGAGCCCCAAGATCAAACCTTGATGGTGGCCCTGCAGGGATCTGGGATTCGCCCATCATACTTGCTAGTGATGAGGCCACAGGCCAGAGGGGACCAGGTGACTGAGCCAACGCCTAAGAGGAAGAGGATTAGATGTGGGGAAAGGAATCCAGGTGATGCTGAGCCCAAGGGAAAGGTAGGGACGAGGGGGCTTCGAACCAATCTTGTGGTAGAGCTCTGGCAGCTGCATCTCCACCTTTTCTCTTTGAAACAGATGGTGCTCTGCCTGTTCACACACTGGAGGAATCAGATTGAACTGTCTAGCCACAGAGTAGGCCTCCTGAGTGGGGTGGGAAAGAGAGAGGGGTGTGGTGAGGAATCCCTCTTTCCATTTTCTTCCACTCCTCTTCCTCCTCCTCCAATAGAGGGGGTTTGGAGTGGCCATGTGAAAAGTGGGCATCAGTGGTGGGACAGGGGGAAGTGGGGTAGCACACTCACCATGATTTCTGCAGCCCCCCATCGGGATGTCCCCCAGTATAGAGCCAGGCCCTGGTTGATGACATAGGTCATGGCTCGAACAATCTCTAGGCATATGGGAGAGGAGAGCCTTACTGCCAGATCCCTGGCATCCAGGACTCCAGATCTGCAGATCTCTGCCTGCCCACCCAGACCCCAGGCATCTCTGGGAGTCAGAGAGATTGCTTTCTGCTCTTTCCTTCCCTCCCTGTCTAAGTCTTGGGGATCTGAGCATCCACTGTGGAGCTTGGGAGGCCTCCTGAGCAGGAGCTGGCTTCCTGTTGAGGTTTGAGAAGTGCTCAGTTTTGAAGGATTCTTAGAGTTGGGGTGCTGCGTTTACCCTCCATGGGACTGTTGGGATCTGAGCGATTAGCAAAGATGATGTCCACATATCCCAGCTGGAGACGTTCCAGAGATTCTCGCAAGCCTGGGGTAGGAATGAGGACAGGAAGGGAAGTACCTTAGTTTCCGTTTCGGAAGAATTCAGATGTCACCACTTTGCCATGGCCGTCTAAATCCCAGTCCCCCTATTCAAAGCCTCTAACTCAGGAGCTTCAGAGAATGTTCCCAACTCCTCTGGGTTCCATACCAAGCCACTTCAGGTTCCTAGTCTCTTAACTCTCACCCTCGATGATGTGTTTGCGGCTCAAGCCTCGCTCAGTTTCTGCCCTGTAGGAAAAGGTAAGTCATAGATGAGGTGTGACAGGTAGGAAACCAGGGCTGGTCTGCACCAGGAGGAACTGGGATTGCATGGGTTCTCATGGGTGGACTGTAGACCTGGGGTAGCAAATATGGGGACAGCTGTCACCACCCCCATCCCATACACCATACACCCTCTGTAGATCGTTTCCCCACTTAGAGTGGGGCAGCCACTTACTGTCCTCTCCCAAAAATCTTGGTGGTGATGACATAGCTTGATCTCCTGGAAAAAGAAAAATGGGAGAACCAGCAAGAAAAGGACTTTTGATGATTATGTCCCTAGCAACCTCCCCCCGCCCCCCCAAAAAAACAAAACACAGTCTCACCTCCAACCTTTGCTCTTGAGGATGTTGCCTAGGGTCCTTTCAGCCCTGGAAGAAAGACAATATAGACGCACTGACCCCTCCAAGGTGGATCAGTTCCTTCCCCTCTTCCTCACATTTCCCTTCAACTAATTCCCTCTCTTGTTAAGTGGAGAATAAACCAGGAGTCCAGTGGGCTTATTTCTGAAGAGAAATAAAGTAGTGAGGCACCATTTTCACCAATCCTTCACTATATATCCTCTCTTGCTAAAAGTTCTGTATGGAACTTATAAATAAAGTAATTAATTTTCTTTTAGAAATTTCACATCCCTTGAGGTTTTGAAGGCCTACGTGGGTATCACAAGGCCCCATCCAGGACTAAATAATAAAAGCTCCTGGAATTAGGGGTGTAGTCATATAGTTTTCATTCAATCATTCAATATGTATCAACTGTGCCTCAATTATGCACCAAGCTCTGTTCTGAGTTCTGAAGGGACAGAGTAGGATGAGGGGAGTGGGACAAGGAGACACTGGTTCCAACCATTTGTGTTGCCCCCTCCCCTTGAGTCTACAAAATTCCACCGATCCTTCAAAGCTTAGCTCAGATTCTTCTGCCCCTGAGGGAAACAGAAAGTGTTCTCTGATTGCTGTAGACTATGGTCAGTCCTTGTTAGCTTCCATAGCTCTTCCTGGCGATTTTCAACCGGTATGCCACAGGAATTTTTAAAACATGTAATAGCCGACTATTTAGTCGGGGCACTGGCCTCATTTCCCTTAAATTGTCAAATAAAAAAAATGACAGCAGCCCTAGCCGGTTTGGCTTGGTGGATAGAGCATCGGCCTGCGGACTGGAGGCTCCCAGGTTCAATTTCTGGTCAAGGGCACACGCCCGGGTTGCTGGCTTGATCCGATCCGCAGTGGGGAGTGTGCGGGAGGCAGCCAATCGATGACTCTCTCTCATCATTGATGTTTCTATCGCTCTCTCCCTCTTTCTTCCTCTCTGAAATCAATAAAAATATATTTTTTAAAAATGACAACAGCCAACACAATAATGGCCATCCACTGTGAACGAATCAAAATTATACATATTTTTTTGGTCAGATCGGCCAAAAAAATTTTTTTGATGTGCCGCAGAATTTAAGTAATTATTTTATGTGTGCCTTGAGATAAAAAAAGGTTGAAAATCACTGGGCTACACAATTCTTTGACACATAATTATGAACTAAGATGTGATAAGTCTTAAGTTATGGTGGACTGTTATTCATTCTTTCATATCTCCCTGTCTCTTCGGTTGGTTTTACTTAGACTGCGAGCTTCTTGAGGGCATAGTGATGTTATCCCACAAGCAGTGCCTGCTCTGTCCTAGGCTCTGTGTAGGTACTCAGGTGACATGGGGGAAAGCAAGACAGATTTCATAGAAAGAGGAGCATCCGAGTTGAGCAACAAATATGGCTACAGGAGCCAGTAATGGATACTGGTGTGTCGGAGGGCAGTGTAAAGTGCTTTAGGAACTGAGGGGGCGAGTGGGGAACTGGGTGAAGGCTTCCTGGAGAAGCAGACATCTGGCCAGGTCTTGAGGATGAGCAGAAGAGTTTGCCATATGGAGGAGAGGTAGGAGTGGCTCCTCCCTGTGTGAAGCCACGGGGGTGTGATGTGGCATGGTGTGTTTGAAAATTTAGATTTGGAAACCCCACGCTGTTGCACATGATTGATGCCCAAGATATATTTGTTGGTTTTCTTTTATTTTGACTGCACAGTACGCCCATTGCCCTCTAAGCTGATGTTTGGGACTATGATCCCCATAATGTTTCGGGGGCCCCACTGGCTGACAGGTTAGAACTTAGTGTTGGCAGGATTCCCAGAGTTCTTGAGATGGAAAACATGAAGCCCTGATGTTCTCTCAGCCTTCTAATTATAACTTAGCTCTTTCGCCCCAGTCCTTACTTTCCAGCTGCATACACCTCGGTGGTGTCAAACAGGTTTATACCATGCTCATAGGCTACTGTCAGCACGTCCTCTGCTGCCTAGGGAGGCGAGAGAAAGAGTTGGAGATTATCCACAGGCCCCTCAATTACCTCCCTCATTGCACTCTAGTGCCTTCACCTTAGCACCTTAGCCTTGATTTCTACATTCTCTTCCCTTTTCCCATCCCCCAGCCTCATGTCCCCTTCACCATTCATTCTCCATGCTTGTTGTCCAAACCCCAACCCAAGTCCATTTCCCCTTGTTCTGGTTCCCTCATAGCCCCTCACCCTGCTTCTAGGTCCCATCACTTATACCTCGTCCGAGATCTGAGAACCAAATGTGACCCAGGTACCTGCAAGAGAGAAGCCAGGCCTGTGAGAACTGTGGGAGGCAAGCCATGAAAGAGCACCCTTCCCTTCAATCTTTTTTCTAACTCACCTAGGCCAAGACAGGACACACGAAGACCAGACTTCCCTAGGTTTCTGCGGGAGACAGAAGGAGCAGGAGGGTGTGGAGCCTCCATTCTGAACAGAGATGACCAGCCCCCAGCTCCTCTCCTTCCAGGATGAGAAACCCTCAGGGGGTCTCAGTCCAAAACTAGACCTAGTGGGGCTGCCGAATTGGGCAGTGCTATGCCCATAGCGTAAGTGAACAAATAAGTGATTGCTCCTCTGGATACACTGTAACATGCTTATCTTTCTTCCTGTCACATTGAAGATGTACTGCTTGCTTGTGTTTCTGCTGGTGGGGTTTTGTCTGTGTTTGAGTCATCTCTGGCAGGTGTGGAGGTGGGGGCTGGGAGGAATGTGACTGGCCGAGTGTGATGAGTTTGTGAAAACAGACCTTCAGACAGAGAATGCTATGCTAAAGGACAGACATCGGAGTGGGAGGAGTTAACCAAGTCAAATTCAGTCACTCAACCGAGGGTCCCTGGTTAGCCTGGCAGATGAGACTCCAAGGAAGGGAGGCAGGAAACCTAGGTGGGGAGTATGACAGGAGGGGCCAGTTCTCCCTCCTCTCCCCACTCCCTCTGCTCCTCTGGGCTTGTGAAGTCTGTCTCTGAACGAGAAAACCCCTCCTCCCAAGCCCCCACTCAGGGAATCAGCTCCCAAGCGGAGCTGCCACATGGAAGGGATGGAATTCCTCACCTGACAAAGCCAGGTGGGCTCAGCTGGGTGAGCTCAGCTCAGGCCCAGGCAGGAGCCCCCCCACCCCTTCCCCTCCTGCCCCCATGCCGGTTCTGAGAGCCCAGCAGTTCTCTGAGATAAAGTTGGTTAGTTACAGCCCACCTTCCCCACCTGACCCCTGTTCCTCAGCATGGGGTTGAGAGATGTGGTCCATCTTTCCACCTTCTGTCCCCACCAAGATAGGTCGCAGGACACTGGGCCCGTGGGGCAGGGCAGGTGGGGGCGGTATCTGGGTCAGGCACCCTGAGCCGGCCAGGGTGAGAAGCCCTTCCCTTCTCCCTCTTCCCAGGACACAGACCCAAGGACACGGGGGGGGGGCGAGGGGGGGGACACAGGGGGAGTCGCGGGGAAGGCACCCTGGAGATCCGTGCACCCCTGGCTTTCCCGGGGGTAAGGAGAAAAGCTCAGAAGCATCCCCAGGCTCTGACGGGACCGGGTCAACCTTGGTAAACTTGCATTTCTCCTAGTAGGGGTATCAACGGAGACCAAGAGAGGGACCAAGTAAGGGAGGGCCGGTGCCGGGAAGAAGAGAGAGAATGCGCCGGGACCTTCCGAGCGAAGTTTGAGGGGGTCTCGGGCATCTCAGGAAGCCTCAGGGGTCAGGAAAGAGGAGCAGATTGGGTGGGCTGCCCGGCCACCCCCATACCTGTATTTCATGCCAGTGCTTCGGCCGGTGCTCTCTCGGAGGACCTCAGGGGGCGCTGGGGGTCGGGGGACCACTGCGGTGCGGGCTTTGGGGCCCGACCCTCCTCCTCCGGGTGGGTTCCCGTGCACCCCGCCGACAGGCCCGCCGTTACCGCCCCCGGGGCCGGGCCGGGGTCCACACAGACGGTCCTCGCTGTTCCGGCTGCGGAGG